AGATGCAGAGAAGGCCTTTGACAATTGAACTGGGGTTTCTTGTTCAAGGTTTTAGAAGATATGAATTTTGGAGAGAACTTTATAAAATGTGCAAGATCAATTTACACTACACAGAAAGCACAAATAACTGTTAATGGAGATCTAACAAAACCCTGTGAGATACAGAAAGGAACAAGTCAGGGATGTCCACTGTCTCCTCTCTTGTTCATTTTGGTTCTTGAAATACTGAATGGAGATATAAGACAAGATGAGAGGATTGTGAGAGTAAAGATTAAAAAAGAAACTTATAAGTTAAGGGCTTTTGGAGATAGCTTGGTGTTGGTTTTGGAAGATCCTTTAGAGGAATTGAAATATTAATGGGCAAATTAAAAGTATTTGGTGCATTAGCAGGTTTCAAGTGTAATAAACAGAAGATGAAGGTTTTAACCAAAATATGAAAATAGAAGATCAAAAAGAATTGATGAATAATACGGGTTTTAAGATTGAGAAGAAGGTAAAATATCTGGGTATCACTATGACAAATATGAACTGTATGTTATTTCAAAATAACTATGTTAAGACATGGAATGAAGTTTTTAAAAATGTGTTAAGATGGAAGACACTACAACTGTCATTGCTGGGAAGAATTTCTGTGATAAAAATGAAGGTTTTGCCTAGAACAGTGATGGCAAACCTTTTGAGCTCGGCGTGTCAAAAATTCGGAAAATGCCTAATTCGACTCTGCTGGCATGTCACACACACACACACAACCGAACAAAAGAGAAACAATTCTTAACATACTCATTTATTTTTTTAAAAAATACAGTCCATTTGTGTGGTGTTATGTATTATATAAAGAAATGTCCAATAATTACAACAATGAAATACAAGTAAAACAAATTCAGTTTCTTTGGTAACTTGAACAGGGAGAATAGTTGTTGGGAGTTGGTCAATGCTGCCATGTCACCCAAAACGTTGTGGCATGTCACCTTTGACATGCATGTCATAGGTTTGCTGTCATGGCCTTGAATGGTTTTTTTGTTTCAGACAATACCTGTTTTGACAACTGAATGCACCATTTAAACAGTGGTAGAAGGGTATATCTAAAGTTGTGTGGTGGGGGGAAAAAACTATGTGTTAAATATACAATACAATAACTTTATTGTGTTCATTGACCAGCACACAAGTTAAATATAAGGTGTTACAAGATACAAAGGAAAGAGGAGGATTGGGTTTACCTGATTTGAAATTTTATTTTGCAGCTTGCCGTTTGGTTTGGATGAAAGAGTGGGTGCTGCTGAGGAATAGAAGGCTTTTGGAGTTAGAAGGACATGACCTGAGATTTGGGTGGCATGGATATTTGTGATATAATAAAGTCAAGGTTAATGTGAATTTTAAAAATCATGTTGTTAGACATGCCTACTGAGCATAGAGAATAGATGCAAAACCAGGTTGTGTCTGAAAACACCTTTGTGGCTCTCAGCACAAGAAGCATTTTGTAGATGAGAAATAATAGATAAACACAAATGGCTAACTTATCGTGAGATATTAGAATTTTGTCAAGGGAAATGTAAAATAAAATCAAGAGAAGAATTGGTGGCAGAGGGATATCAATGGTTTTCTTATTTACAGTTATTTGAAAGATTTAAAGTAGACAAAAGAGTTTGTGGTTTTGAACATTGTAAGACTCAGTTTGAAATAGAATTATGTACAAATGATGAACATGTAATTGCTAAAATGTATCAACTGTTATTGAAATTTGAAACAGAAGAAGAGCAAGTGAAAGAATGTATGTGGGCTAAATTTTTTGGTTATAATATGCAGATGGAACAATGGGAAAATATGTGGTCAAAATAATTGATATTTACACTGCTATAATTTTAACAGAATTTTTATAAAATGATGTGCCGTTGGTATATGTTACCAGAGAAATTGTCTAGCTTGTATAAGGCCCTTCAAATTTATGTTGGAAATGTGAACAGCATGAAGGGACATTTTATCATGTCTAGCGGACATATAAAAAGCTAGAAAAATTTGGATTCAAATATACAAACTGATTCAGAGGATTTTAAAGGTTAATATACAATTGACACCAGAGGGTTTTTTGGGGTTATTAATGGACAAACAATTGGGAAAAAATCACGGAACTTTGTTTTTGTATATGATAATCGAAGTGAGATTATTGTATGATGGAAAGATGGAAAGATTTGGCACTGCCCATAATGGAGGAATGGTTGGTGAAGATGATGGAACTTGCTGAGATGGCTAAATTGACTTCTTTG